CGAGTGAGGGGGACGGAGAGAGAGAGAGAGAGAGGGACAGAACACCACACCCAGGAGATCTGTGGGTTACAAAAGCATGAAACTGTAAAACAGACAGGTGGATTTTTAAGAGATGGAAACTGAAAGTGAAAAAAAAATAGCAGTTAAAGGCCAATGTTTTCAAAAAGAAGCTGCACAAGTTGGGTGCCTAAATATGAGTTTGGGAGCCTAATGTGTCGCTTAAATTTGGGAGCTAACTTTAGACATGCATTTTTCAAAAGAAATCTGAGCCTGTATTTAGTGTACTCTTCTACATTCCAGTAACTCAGAAAAGGATTTCTTCATGCCTGTAGCACCTATTTTTCTAGGCTATTGGGGCAGATCAATAGAGCTGTGATGCTTTTTTTACACCAGATGAGGATCTGCTCCTTAGCTTTTAGAGGGTGCTTGAGTCTGAAATTTCCACCTCAAACCTGCAGGGGATTCTCTGCTCTGCGGGGTAAAAAACAACTTAGTTCATGTTATGGATACTTCCTTCTTGAAGGGTAGGTAGAATTCTGAACTTCAGGTGTGTAGGTTCATAGGAAAATATGCCCCAAGAGAACATGTCAATTTGAAAGCATGGCTTACTGCCCATATACAGTAGTATATTCAGCTAAAATTTTCTGATCATTTTTTATTTAGAGATGCATAAGGCAGGTCATAGCAGCCAAGCTTCTGTGGTTGCTTGTGTCACTTATTTTGCAAATAAAAAATAGATTACAGTGCTGCCCATCGCATTTACAAAATGTGATTTAAAGATGATATGTTCATGATTAAGGAGCTAAAGATTCTCTCACAGGCAGAGGGCCAATGTCACCGTTGGTGTAGACAGGCACAACTCCAGTGAAGTCACTGGAGTTGTGCCTACTTATGCCAGAGAGGAATTTGGCACCAGGCTTCACTACAGTCTCAGTCTGTGACTCTGGCACCTGATTCTTCATTCCTTGCAAATCCTACTGAGTTTAATGGGTGTTTTGGGGTACATGAAGAATGCAGGCTCAGAACAATATGTACTTGGGTAAATGTGACATTTCTGTAGACGTTTGGCCAGCCAAAGGGGAGGGATAATTTACTTTACGTGTATTCCAGTACTTTTCTATAAATTACCTTTCTTCAAAGATCTTCTGCAACATGCACTATAAAATCCTGCATTAAGGTCTGTGTTGACTATTTCTGTCCCTTTTATGAGGGAGCGGGGTCAACACTTTGGCGCATTCGGGAATAGTAACCTCCAAATGGCTCCCCACTACCTTCTTTACCTGGATTACGAGTGATCATCTTACTAACTATAAATAGCTTTACCTAATGAGAAATTAATATTTTGCTAAAATGTGGGAGTACCAAAATCTAACATTAAATAACACTAATCAAGGGGAAATACTTGCCAAGTGTCCAAAATGTATGCCCTACTTGTACATTTTTCTAAACTGTATTACAGAATGTATTTTCATTTTGTGGGAGTTAGGTGCCAGCCTGTGTAGATACTTCTGAAAACCCCATCAGGCACTTATTTGCAGCTTTAGACACCTAAGTACCTTTGAAACATTGGCCCTTGGAAGATCTCATTTTCAGAAGTGACTTAGACACTTAGCAACCTAAGTCTTATGAAAAGTCACTGGGATGTAGACTCCTAAGTGCCTAAGGCCTTGTCTACACAGTGCAGCAATGTGCAGCAGAGGAAGGTGAATTCTAAAGCACACCAATGTGTTGCACACTAACTGGCCCATGTAGACCATACTAGTGTTCACTAGTCTGTGTGGGACAGTTAGTGTGCAACACAGTGGGTTTTAGAATTACCCCGCTTCTGGTGCACATTGCTGCACTGTGTAGACAAGCCCCTGGTTATTTTTTTAAATGGAACTTCAACTCATAAGTCCCTTTGGTGCTTTTGAAATTTTTTCCTCTCACGATTGAAAGCCACTAAACTCCTGAGTTCTATCCTCAAGTCAAAGTCTGACCTTGGAAAAGTCATTTAACCTCTGTGTTTAGGTTTCCTCATTTGTAGCATAAGGATAATGATAAATAATAATACCTACCCTCAAAAAGGTGTTTAGATGATTAATTAGCTAATATTTATTCAATGCTTAGTTAGATGCAAAGCATTATATTAATGCTAATTAATTGATGTTTTATTATTCTTTGTTGAGTATTATTCTTTCTGGTTAACTGTTAGGTCTCTGAAGTTTCAGTCATACATTGATATTTTTCACAATGCTTTTCACAGTAACTTGTCCAAAGCAGGTAGATTTCCTGGGCAATCAGAACTAATAGCCAATTCATTCTCAAGAACAGAATTATCTGCAATGTGACAGGTGCACTAATACCTTTTGAAAATGCAAGATATAGGGCCACATTCTCATCTTAGTTACACAGATGTAAATCAGTGGACTTATTCTGGGTTCATATTTTCATAATAAGAATCAGAATCTGT